AGCCAATGGTAAAGTCTCTTCATCCAATTCATACATCTCGACATTTGGTGAATGGTTGTGGTGTTCATATGGAGGTGGGCTTTGATGGTATGGATGTTGGGGTGGAATGTGGTTTTGAGGGTGGTAAGAAGGGTACGTAGAGTATGGAGATGTTTGTTGGGTATGGGGGTATTGATCATATGTAGCATATTAGGGATCTTGGTAGTGTTGAGGATATGAATTGTAGTAAAAATCTTGGGAATGGAAAGATGAATCTTGGTAAAGTTGTGGTGGGTAAGAATTTTGGTAGTTTGGAGTGTATTGAGAGCATGAGTTTTGGGAGTAGGATTGTCGTGGATTAGAATTTTGGGATTGAGCATCAAAGTAATTTTCAGGAAGTGGGACTTGAGTTGTACAAGGATTAATGGATGGAGCTTCATAGTATCCTTGTTGTGGCATGTAGTCTCCATAGCACCCGTGGGATTGAGAATTGTAATATCCTCCATCAGACATGTAGCTTCCTTGGCTTTCATATTGCTCCCCCTGTTGATATTGACAGTACATGCTATATATGCAAGGCTAGCAATATACCAAGTTATGTAACACAATCACAAAAGTAAAAATAAATAATAAAAGAAAAAAAAAAGACTAGGCTCTCCTAGAAACACATTCACTTATGTTGAAACAAAACAAAAAGCTCAAAAACCGCTACCAATCCCCGGCAACGGCGCCATTTGATGAAGTAGTTTTTTGGGTGAGTGGATGTGTAAGAGGGTATCCTTACACCGGATATCGTTCTCACAAGGATTGGCGATAGGAGTAGAGCTTTAGTGTTCCAAGCATAAGATACTAATGTTCCCATTGGAAATCTAGCCAAACCGAAGGGTTGATTTGGATACAAACATAATATTAAACAACACACTACAATGAAAATAAATGATAAGAAAGTGGAGGTAAATAGGAACTAAAGGTAGGTCAAGATAGCGAAACCAAATTGGGGGCTAAAAGATGATAGATGTCATATAACGATAGGGAAGCCTTTCTCAAGGTCATCCCACACTCCTAGAACATTCAAGGACATTCTCATGACTCAAGAATGTCTAAGAGGCATTTCATCAAACACTTGGTGTTCTTAACATCACACACCCCCCTTTTCTCAAAGGTGAAGCATGGTTGATCAACTCCTTAAACTTAGACTAGGTTGTCACTCCCTAATCGAGACTCAAATAAACATGTCAATCAACAACATCAAGGTCAAGCATCAACATTCCTTCTCAACCAATTCAAAGTCAACAAATAAACACCTAACCTACATCCCTACCTCCCTCCAAGGAAAACTAATCACACAAACATAATAAAAATAACACAAGATTCATAATCAACAAGGAATTCCAAAACAAACACAAGATAAAGATCAAAGCAATAAAGTAAGAAATTAAATAGCAAAGTGGAAATAGAAATAAAAGAGGTAGAACTTATCTATAGAAAATGGATATGAAATCTTTGAAATCCAAGATTAAATGCTTCAATCCAAGCTTCCAAAATGTTTAAGAACCTAAATATAAGTCTAATCTAACCTAAAAATATCAAAGAAAATGAAAGAGAGAAGCTAGGGTTCTAAAATGGGTTGGAACCGTGTTAAAATGACTTAAAACGGGACTAAATACAAGCAAAAAAGGCTAGCCACGGGCATGGCCACAGGTGTGTATGGAGAGCTCTAGTAAAGAAGAAGAAAGTATCTGTTCTTTTGTATTAACCAACTGGGAAAATCAGTTTGTATGTACATAAGATTTGCCATCTTACTTACAGAAAAACAGTAGAAAGAAGAAGAGATAAAGGAGGGAAAAGAAGTTGGAGTTAGTTATTTGACTTCTTGGCTTCATTCCCTTTTGACTTGCCACTTGTATCTGTTAATACCCCCCCACAAGCTGCAGTATACATATTATGTAGACAAAGCTTGGATATGAAGCTGTAGAAGGTTGCTGATGTATGTGGCTTTGTGAAAACATCAGCAAGTTGATTGGTGGTGGTAACATGTAGTAACTTCAACACTCCCTTTTGCAGCTTTTCCCTTATTAGGTGGCAATCAATCTCAATATGTTTTGTTCTTTCGTGAAACACAGGATTTTCAGCAATGGCAATTGCTGATTTGCTATCACAATACATCATAGATGTAGAGCTCTCATTTATTCCCATATCTTTCAACAAGTAGATGAGCCATTGAATCTCACATGCAGCTGTAGCAAGTGCCCTATATTCAGCTTCAGAGGAGCTCCTTGAAATGGTGACTTGTTTCTTTGATTTCCATGATACCAAAGAGTTGCCAAGGAAGGTGCAGAACCCTGTGATGGATCTTCTTGTGTCTGGACATGCTGCCCAATCAGAATCACTAAAAGCTTTGAACTGCAGTGAAGATTTTGCTGAGAAGAAGATGCCTTGGATGGGAGCTGCCTTTATGTACCTCAACACCCTGTGTGCAGCTTGCATATGTATGTCAGTAGGGCAGTCTAAGAACTAAGATAATTGTTGAGTAGCATAGCTTATATCAGGCCTAGTGATGGTGAGATATAAGAGTTTTCCTATTAGCCTTCTGTATGGAGTAGCATCTTGCAGAATGTTGCCACTGTTTTTACTGAATTTGATAGACGTTACCATGGGTGTAGCAGCAGGATTACAATGTATAAAGTCTGTTTCTTCAAGTAATTCCATAGTGTATTTCCTCTGATTCATTGAAATTCCTTTGCAGCTTCTAGCAACTTCTAAGCAGGTTTACAATGTATAAAGTCTGTTTCTTCAAGTAATTCCATAGTGTATTTCCTCTGATTCATTGAAATTCCTTTGCAGCTTCTAGCAACTTCTAAGCCCAGAAAAAACCTTAAGGGGCCTAGATCCTTAATATGGAAAATGTCATTTAGATGCTTCTTGATCTGATTCACTTGACATAGGTTAGGACTGGCAATGACCACATCATCCACATAAACAAGTAGAGCCACAAAATCATCATCTTTTCCTCTAGTGAATAAGGAGGAATCAGAAACTGCCTGTTGAAAACCCATGTTCAACAATTCATGAGAAAGCTTGATATTCCACTGTCTACTTGCTTGTTTGAGACCATATAGGGACTTCACTAACTTGCAAACTTGGCCTAGTTTGCCTGATGTAATGCCAGGAGGTAATCTCATGTAAACCTCTTCATTTAGTTCTCCATGCAGGAAAACAATGTTTACATCCAATTGGTGTAAACCCCACCCTTTGATGGCTGAGACAGCAAGTAACATCCTGACTGTTGTGATCTTAGCAACTGGACTAAAAGTATCCAGATAGTCAAGCCCAGGTGTCAGAGTGTAACCTTTTGCTACATGTCTAGCCTTGTGTCTCTTAATTGTTCCATCAGCTTTAAGTTTGGTTTTATAAACCCATTTGCATCCTATTGCCTCTTTGTTGGGGGGAAGATCTATGATTATCCATGTATTATTAGCTTGCAAGGCTTTGAACTCAGCCTCCATAGCTTGTCTCCAACACTCCTTCTTGATAGCTTCATTGTATGTTTTTGGCTCCTTTGCATCTAAAATATTTACTGCAAAAGCTCTGTAATCATCAGACAAATTCTCATAAGATAAGAATTTGGAAATATTATGTGGAGATGTCCTCTTAGCAGTAACACTCTGGCAGTTATAGGCATCCAGATAACCTGGTGTCACCTTTCTTCTAGTTGACCTTCTTAAAGGTGCATCTTCTGGAACTGTTTCATTGTCTATAGCTTCACTCATCTGTCTTGGTTCCATGGACTGAACCATAGGTGGGATTTATTCATGGATAACTTGAGGAATGTGCCCTTCATTATCTATATATGGCATGGTTTCAGATGGTAGTACTAAGCTGTCAGAGTTTGGCTCATGTGGCTTCTTGAAGGGAAACATATCTTCATAGAAGTGGACATCTCTGGAAATAAAGACCTCTTTTGTCTTGATATCAAACAATTTATACCCTTTGACTCCAGTGGCAAACCCTATGAAAATGCATTTCCTTGCCCTTGGTGAAAACTGGTTTCTTTGGCAGCTAGGAATAGTAGCAAAGGATAGGCAGCCAAACACTCTAAGGTGTTGGTATTGTGGTACCTTATTAAAGAGGATTTGATAAGGTATTTGATTATTCAAGGCTGAAGTTGGTAGTCTATTTATTAGATAAACTGCATGAAGGATGCAGTCCCCCCAGAATTCCTCAGGCAGATTGGCTTGAAATTTTAAGGCTCTTGCTATAGACAAGATGTGACCATGCTTCCTTTCCACAATGTTGTTTTGTTGGGGAGTATACACACAAGATGTTTGGTGGATGATTCCCCTATGTTGATAAAAGTCTTCCATCAAAAATACCTTTCCATTGTCAGACCTTACACATTTAATAGCTTTCCCAAATTGTGTTTTGATTAGCTCATAGAATGACAGCATATGTTGCTTAACCTCACTCTTGTTTCTCATAAGATATATCCAGGTGGCTCTACTGTGATCATCCACTAGTGTCAAGAAATATTGATGACCATAGACTGTTGGCACATGGTATGGTCCCCAAATGCCAGCATGTATGAGATCAAAACAATCAATTGAAACAGAGGAACTAGAGTTAAAAGGAAGCTTTCTTTGCTTAGCTAAATGACAACAATCACATGCACTAGGCTTATCATTACAGATTTTGTTGTCTAAGGTATGAAGAAACTTTATTTTGTCTTCTGAAGCATGGCCCAATCTAGCATGCCAAAAACTACAAGCATTAGCAGCATGTTTACATCTATTTAAAACAGGAAAAATCAATTGGTAGAGTATTTTCCTTGGCTCAGCCATGCCAATCATCTTCCCAAGGTGCTGATCTTGTATAACACAGTGATTAGAGTGGAATAATATGCTGCAATTTGATTTTCTTGTGAGTTCTCCCAAAGATATTAGGTTGTACTGAAAAATTGGCACACATAAGACATTCTGTTAGGTTAACTCAGCAGATAATTGGATGTTTCCAATATGAGACACCTAAGCCTGGTGTCCATTAGGCAAATCTACAAATATACCATGCACTCTCTTGGATGTTTGTAGCATATATTCATTGCACAGAATATGGTGTGTAGCACCACTGTCAAGAATCCATAAAGGCTCAGAATTAACCAAATCAGAACTGACTTTCTTACCTTCTAAATTGGCATCAGGTATGAAATTAGCTGATATGGTATTAATCTGAGGATTGATAGTGAGAGGAGTGGCCTGAGTACTCCTACTTCTTTGTTGTTGCTGCATGAAGTCCAGAAACCTTCTATAGTCTTCCTCAGTCACTGTAGAAATCCCAAGGCCAGAGATCCCACGACCAGTTTCTAATGACTCTTGTGAAGAAGACTGAACTTGATTGGCAGAACCCATGCTTTTGTTTCTTGGCTTCCACCCAGGTGGGTAGCCATGTTTCTTGTAGCACTTATCAATTGTGTGCCATGTGTATCCATAATAGCTACACACAGGTTTTGGCTTTTGATTTGGATAGAATTTTCTGTTGTTGCCAGAGTTTGCTAAGAAAGCATTGGCTCCAGTTATGTTTTCTGTCAAGATGTTTGGGATAGCATCCATTTGCCTTTCTTGTTGAGAGACCATTGCAAAGGCTTCTCCAACATCAGGGAGAGGCTTCATCAACATAATCTGCCTCTTGGTGTAAGCAAAGTTCTCATTTAATCCAATCAAAAAAGCAGTTAACATATCATTCTCAATATGAGTTCTAACTTTTTCAGATAGGTCAGCTCCACATTTGTAGCTGGGAATGCAGTCACAAGAGGGGATTGATCTTAACACAGCCAACTCATCCCATAACGATTTTAGTTGAGTAAAATACTCGTTCACAGAAGTGTTACCTTGCTTTGTTTGGTGAATTTCAGCCTGAATCTCAACTACTCTGAAGATATCTTGTTGACTAAATCGTTTCTTGAGATCCTTCCACACTCCTTCTGCAGTGTTAATCCATAAAACACTTCGAGCGATGGTAGGAGAAACGGCCCTTAGAATCCATGAGAGGACCATGGTATTGCATTGATCCCAATAGAAATGTTTGGGATCATTCTGATTGGGGATCAACATTGATCCGTTCACAAAAGCAAGCTTGTTCTTCGATTTCAAAGCCATCTCCATTGCCCTAGCCCAGGCATGATAGTTTGATTTTCCTTCCAGATGTACAGTCACCAATTGCAGGGACGGACTCTCATTTGGATGAAGGCTGAAAGGATTCACTCGATCATTTGGATCAAAAATCGCCGGAGTTGGAGCTGCAGCAGTTGCCGAAATTGGATTTGCAGCGGCAGTCGAGGACGAACCGGTCATGTTCATGGGAGGTGGTCTCCAAGCCATAGTTCAAAGCTCTGATACCATATTGACAAGTATGGAGAGCTCTAGTAAAGAAGAAGAAAGTATCTGTTCTTTTGTATTAACCAACTGGGAAAATCAGTTTGTATGTACATAAGATTTGCCATCTATATACTTAGGGAAAAACAGTGAAAAGAAGAAGAGATAAAGGAGAGAAAAGTAGTTGGAGTTAATTATTTGACTTCTTGGCTTCATTCCCTTTTGACTTGCCACTTGTATCTGTTAATAGTGTGGCCAATCCCGTGGCTAGAAACGCAGGGTACACTGCCCAGTGGCCACGGGTGTGCCGACACCTGCGGGTACGAATGCCGTCCGAAAATTGATTGGCCTTGCGGGCAATGCTATGTCAACTTCCGGTATCATTTTTTCAACACAAAGCCACTGGTTGGCCGAGACCATGGTCCAAGGTCGAAAGTTCGACCTTGGCTGAGATTTGCTATGAATTTGGTTGTTTTAAAAATTGTGTACATTGCACTTGTACATGGAAATATCATCCTACCATTATAACGTCGTTAATTAATATTGCAAGAAGAGAAATACAATTAAAAAAGACTAAAAAATGAATTTAACTTCTATATTTTTATTGTACAATTAATATATATTGTCATATCATTTTTTTTTGTCAATTTTATATATCATATCGTGCACCAGGGTGCACAAGGCATTGTGCACCCTAAAAATCTCATGTTTCGTATGTACATAATTGTATAGTAGAATACAAATAAACTCTTAACATAATCTAATATAGTACATAATACACATAAACTTTTAGGATGCATAATGCAATATGCACCCTGTGCACGTTATAATTTGCCGATTCCAGTTTACACTCACATGTAGAGATAGCTTAGATCAGAGCTTATTTAAAATTGAACTAATTCTGAATTGGATCGGACCTAATAGGGTTTAGGTTTATGATTTTCAAATTAAAAGATGGTATTTTATTCTATCATTATTTGCTTCATCTCTGGAAGGTCACAATAAGCAATCTCACACTAAGTACTATAAATCTTTTATGATGATTTTTAAAAAAAACAAATAACAATAATTTTCATGTAGTACATAAAATATAAAAGCTTAGACATGTCAAATGATACCTTGCTGAAGTCAACAGTCAGAAATTATTATATCATAACAACTCACAACATAGCTTGATAAATATACGCAACTTGCAAATTATTTATATTATTAAAACACAATTTAATAATGTATAACAAAAACTCAAGTCAAGATATATTTAGTTCATACCTTCACATCAAACCGAATAGAGATTCAAAGTGTAAAAGAGATAAACTTAATAGTTTTTGCTCAAATGATCAAACTGGTTAGACTATTAACTTGGTAACCATAACATTACAAGTACGTAGGACTCTCATCCAGTAGGATTGGAGCAGCGGCCTTACCTAGAAACACAATGACGTCACCATTTTGACACTTAATCGGCATCTGGAGTGTCACATATTTCACTCGATCTATTCAACTTTGAGACTCGGACACTTGTAGATCTTCAAAGACTCCAGCCTACTTAAGAGGTGATATGGCACTGTCTTTAAGTTTTTTGCAATTTTTTAGTTCCAACTCCCTAATGCATGGCATTATTATTATTATTGCTTCTTCTTTGAAGTCTTCCCACTCTTCCCACTCGGGACAATTCGAGAACTCTAGTTTCTTCAGCTTTGGAAAAGCAACACCACCTACTTCTGCTACTCCCAAAAACTCACTACCTACATATCTTAGCTCTTTCATTTCCCATATCCAAAGAGTCTCCAGAGAAGGGAGTTTGCCTACTGGAGGCAAAGATGAACAATTAGAGCAGCACCCGATACTAAGAAGTCGTAGATTATCAAGGGACAGTGTAATCCAGGAAGGTAAGCGTGTTCCTTTGTACCCAAGAAAGTACAAGTCTTGCAGTTCCGGAGGTGGTTTTAGAGCTTCCATCGCATCTATTCCCACACTGACTCCCGGACAGGCTTCAATCTCCAAACACTCCAGCTTACTTAAGAGGTGATGTGGCACTGTCTTAAGTTTTTCGCAATTTTTTAGTACCAACTCCCTGATGCATGGCATTATTATTATTGTTGCTTCTTCTTTGAAGTCTTCCCACTCCTCCCACTCGCCACAATTGGAGAATTCCAATTTCTTCAGCTTTGGAAAAGCAACACCACCTACTTCTGCCACTCCCAAAAACTCACTACCTACATATCTTAGCTCTTCCATTTCTGATATCTCAAGAGTCTCCAGAGAAGGGAGTTTGCCTAATGGAGGCAAAGATGAACAATTAGAGCACCACTCAATATTAAGACTCCGTAGATTATCAAGGGACAGTGTAATCCAAGAAGGGAAGTGGGTTCCTCCGTAAAAACAAAATTTCAAGGTTTGCAGTTCTAGAGGTGGTTTCAAAGCTTCCATCACATCTATTCCCACATCGACTCCCGGACTGAAATGCAAACACAATTCTTTGATGTGCTTCTTGTTTCTCAATTCTGCTTTCTCTGCTTCCTCCACATTTGCTACATTATACAAATCGCACAAAAATAATATGGACAGCTCCCCTTGGAGTTGGTTCAGCTTCTCCATGTATCCCAACTTACATGACTCTTTCCCCACAATAAACTTACTTAAACTACAAAGCTGAGTTAGCTGTGCGATACCTTGGGGCATCATCTCCAGACTATCGGTGTCTCTGATGTTAAGGTGTCTCAAGTTTATCAAATTGCCAATCCCTTTGGGTAGTCTGGAAAGACTGGTACATCCCTTAAGATCTAAAGTTTGCAAGTTATACAAAGAGCAAATTGCATCCGGTAACTCCTTTACGCTGCTCCAACTTAAATCAATATACCTTAGATGAAGCAAATTTCCTATCTCCTTTGGAAGTTCTACCAACTCAGGGCAATGCAATCTTAATACTCTCACAGATTTCAAACCATTGAACAAATCAGGAGTAAGTTTTTTGAGAGAAAGGCCTTGAGCAAAAAAGCTGCGAAGTTTTCCAACATCACAAATGGAAGCAGTGAGATTCATATTCCCTCTAGTTCTCGGCCATGACAGATGACGTAGATTTTTAATTCCGACCTTACCCTCGTGCTGGTCAATACTGTAGCATTCATTTCTGGTAAGAAACTGGGCAAAATCATGCACTATGTCATGCATTTTGCAAAATTTGATAATGTTGGAATCTTTCTCCAAATCTTGGAAGAAAGAGCGCATTGCTAAACCCTCAAATAACTCCCTGCCTTTTGATTCCACCGTCACATAACTTTGTGCCATCCAAATTTTGATGAGCTTATCTACCTCTATTACGTCATCTTTGGGAAAGACAGCACAGTATGAGAAACATTGCTTCATCTTTGGGGTCAAATCATTGTAGCTTAGATACAATTGAGGGAAGAGGTCAGTTACCACTTCATCCAACTCCCAAATTTTATTGTCTAAAACATTTTGCCAATCATCTCTAGTGTCTTTGAAACGTAGTAGGCTTCCCATGACCTTAGCAGCAAGCGGGAGTCCTTTGCACTTTTGAGCAATTTTCTGACCAATATCTTTCAGTTTCTCACAATCCTCTTCTCTTCTCTCGAAAAATGCTTTCCTGCTAAGCAACAACCAAGCTTCCTCGTCAGATATTAGATCCAACTGATGCAGATACGCACTTCCCATCATTCTAGCAACCCTCTCACTCCTTGAGGTCACCAAGATTCTACTCCCGGGGAGTCCATCCTTGAGAGAGTTCTTCAATGGCTCCCACTTTGCAGACTGCTCTGTCCACACGTCATCCATCACAAGTAGGAACCTTTTTCCAGACAAAATGCTCTGGATTTTTTCCAGTAATACATGCAATTGAGACAGATCTGTGGAGCTTTTAGTGGTTGACTCAACAATGGCTTTTGCAATGTCGAACAGGTTAAAAGGGTTGGAAACACAAATCCATACCTTTTCCTCAAAATGAGCCTTTATCTGTTCATCACCAAAGACTAGTTGAGCAAGGGTAGTTTTCCCTATCCCTCCCGCGCCCAATATGGAAATGACAGGGGGCCCATTTCCATTTCTTGCTTCTTCTTCTCCAGAATTCTCCACTAACTTGCTTATTAAAGCACTGGCATCGGATTTCCTACCTTGAATCTCTGACTCATGCACATCAAACGCAGTGGTGACTCGCATCAATTCTTGATGATCAGAGTATGATGCTGCACAAGTGTGTGTTACAGATGCACAATCAAATTTGAACTGATCTTTCTCTTTCGTAATCCGATCAAGTGTTGAATCAAGCTCCTTTATTTTATTGGCGATGTCTCGATGCACAACAAACCTTTTGAATGGGATACACATAGGCATGAAAGAGCTGCGACTTACCTCTGGGCTCTCGATCTGGTGTCTCAGAGTTCTGGTTCTCCACTCGTCCAGAACATCATCCACTTCGTAGGAGAAGTCTTTGAGATCTTCGATCCAGAGCTTGATGCCATTTTCCTTAAAGCTTCTCTTCTCTGCATCAGCCAATACCTCCCTGACTTTCTCCAGCTTTGATGAGAGGTTTTTGATCTCCTTCTTCACACCCAAAGTTCTTTTTAGCTCCTGGGCTTGGTGATTCAGGATGTTGATCAGCTGTTCCACAACGTCGGAGATGAGAGCGTCAGCCATGGTCGTTGACTCTGTAGTTGAAAGGTTTTGAGAGATGATAAGGTTTGCAAATGTATGGGCGGGCAAATTTTGGTAACTGAAACAAATATTGGTTAATATACAGACCAACAAAAAGTGGTTAAAATTTTTTTTAGTTAAAATATTAAAATATACAGACCAACAAAAATTTGATTAAATAATATAAATATAAATAAATAAATATATATGTGGGGGGGGGGGTGTGGATGTGTGTGTGGGGCCACCATTTAGATGATAAGGTTGGGCATTACTTTCTCCCATGGGGGCTACTATGTGAGTATGTGACAAGAGAATGAAAGATTTGAATGCTTGATGGGATGGATCATGGATGGGACAAAAGTCCCCAAGAATTTAAATAAATAATAAAAAAATATCAGAGGTTTCTTTAGGGCATTTATAATACGGATCTATCTTTCTCACTTGTTCATATTTTCAATTTTCTTTAAAAAAATACAGTATTTTTTAATTATTTCCCTCAAAATATATAGTTTGAAACTACTTTGAGCTTATTTTTAAGAAAAATACTTGGTGTACTCTCATTTTATACCATCAACTTGTATTTTCTCTCACATGTTTTTGAAGTAAACACTTTTCTGTGAACCCACATGTTGAAACTAATCAATCATGGTTTGTCACTTCAGGGTACAAATGAGGGAGTAGAATTTGGGAGTCCATGTACTAGAACTCTATTTTTAAACTAGTTTTACATGCGCATTGCGCGATTGAGTTAATGCTCAATGCTTATAATTAAATAAGTATTTGAAAATATATCAATGCCAGATTATATATGAAAAGTTCATAAATAAGTAATTTAATGTCGAATTTGTTTATTTAAATATGTAACTCATAGTGTATGAATACAAGATAATATAGGAGATTCATTATAATTATTACTAAAGTATTTTTGTTGCAAAGAGATCTAATATATTTAATGAATGCACATATAAGATCAATGGATGAATCAACGGTACCAGTCATTTAGATGTTTTGCTCACTGTTGATTTAGTTCAACCATTATTGTTGAATGAATTATTACAGAGAGTACGTTAATAACATTTTTGGTCCCTTGACTATTAGGTAATACATAATTTAGTCCCAACCTATTAAAGTACCAAATTTAGTCCTCTAACTTGTAAAATCATACCCAATTTAATCGTCCGTTACAATTACCATCCATCCACGGTTATAAAGTGGGACAAAAAGATAATTTTATCTATAGTCGAGGGACCAAAATGGATTTTGTCTATAGTCAAGGGACCAAAATGAGTATTGACTACTACTACTACTATTATTATTATTATTATTATTATTATTATTATTATTATTATTATTATTATTATTATTAGGACAATGTCTCCTGCCACCATATTACTTCCTACAATATTATTTTGAATGCTTGATGGGATGGATGAGATAAAAGTCCCCAAGAATTAAAAAGAAAATAAAAAAAATATTTGGTGTACTCTCACTTTAAACTCTTAACTTGTACTCTCTCACATGTTTTTTATGTAGACATTTTTCTGTGGATCCACATAATGAAAATAACTAATCCTGTGACTGCAGTACATTGCTTCCTTTTTATTGTTTGTTTTTTCTTCCTTTCTTCAGTATATATATATTTAAAATCCTTTTGTACTATCTTTTAACTAGAGAGGGATTGCAGCCAATGGATATATGTTGGAAAGTGGTTGAGGAAACATGCTTCTAGGATTAAGATTATTGTGGTTATGAGAAGAGCTTATCTCTTTATAAGAAAAAAAAAATTCAATTGAGAGTGGCAGAATGGCAGTGAGCTCATTTTTTTTTTTTTTTTTTTTTTTTTAAGCTGACAAGAGTGATGAAGTAGGAGGTTTTCAAAAATTCATTTTATGAAAACAGCGTAAACTTGTGGTGCATCACACTTTCGAATGCATTAATTTTTGAACAATGCTATCACACTTTTCAATACATTAAATGTCTATCATCCACCAAATTAATTTATCTCAACCACCACATTTAATTATTTTCTCCCACCACAACATTAATCTCCAGCTCCTTGTATATATGCAAGTTTCATCATATTAAGGTTCACAAATACCTAACTTCGAATTTTTTTTTTCTTCTTTTGATTTTAACTTCCACCAAACCAACAAAATACAGCAAATAAGTATATTTTCCCCATTTTAACGTCTTTTTGTAGCTTTTCTTATGAAATAGTTTCCTGATGCTAGTTGATATATTCATGAATAAAATGGCATTTAGAATGCCATCTTTATTTTGGAATAAAACGGCATTTATCTTGTTCATCCTTTTTTTTTTTTTTTTTTCTAAAAGACAGCCATATAAATATGTATTATATTATATGTTTACGGATATGGCAAGAATTTAAATAAATAATAAAAAAATATCAGAAGTTTCTTTAGAGCATTTATAATACGGATCTATCTTTCTCACTTGTTTAGTTGTTTATATTTTCAAGTTTCTTTAAAAAATACAATATTTTTTAATTATATCCCTCAAAATATATAGTTTGAAACTACTTTGAGCTTATTTTTAAGAAAAATACTTGGTGTACTCTCATTTTATACCCTCAACTTGTATTTTCTTTCACATGCTTTTGAAGTAAACACTTTTCTGAACCCACATGTTGAAACTAATCAATCCTGGTTTGCCACTTCAGGGTACAAATGAGGGAGTAGAATTTTGGAGTCCATGTACTAGAACTCTATTTTTAATTAAAATCAATAATTAAACAATGGACAAATTGTGCCCAAATACCAATGTTTATTATTGTATTTTTTTTGTGTGTGTTTTTACGTTATTTATATTTTTGGTTTTCAATAATTGCGGTGTTAGGGGTTTTGTGTCGTAGGGGCGATGCACGGTGCTTGAGTGCTCTACGCGAGCGATTCTTGTCTGAAATTTTAATGTTTCATAGCAACATACATCAGCAATCGAACCTCAACTGTGTGGTGGGTTTTGCAGCTACTATTGGCTGAAAATCAAGACTAGTTACAAATATTTGATAGTTGTGTCTACACTTTTGAGATTTGATTTGGTCATATTCTCTTTCATTTTTTATTTTGGATGCTGAGTTTTGGTACTAAGACGTAATACATACATTTTAATTTAAACTCTATTTACTTGATTTTTTTTTTTTTGTTAAATTCGTTTATTTTATTAGGTTCGTCATACGCACATACAAATTAGTGTTCACACACCTGATACGGCTCCCCATGTTGGTCTTTGGACTCATTCAACATAACGCTTACATCTCACACTGACCATGCACACTCACGGTCATTACCACATTGCACAATGAAATACACAATCCGTCAACCGCTCATGCACACACTTTCATTATAGTCCAAATTACTAATTGCTAATGAATGTGGTTTGTTAGGTGGGTTTAACTTTCGCAAAAAACAACCCCTGCACTCGTTCACCTACAGCATAACGCACACCTTGTACCTAATACAAAAAATACGGTGTCGATTCATATCGTACACTTTTTTAAAGAAATATTATATTTCAATGTTTTTATGAAAAAGGTATTAAAAATATAGTTTTTTATGAACATAAACAACCATGAATGTGTAGAGTTGTTCATGTTCAGTATACACACTAATTAATGCTCACGCACAACAACCTATTTTGAATTTTGAAAAAGATTAACGCCTACAGTGAAACGCATACACTAGAACACTTACGCGCACACAATCACACCAGAACACTTACACTAAAACCTATTTTGAATTTTGAATCTTGATTAACTAATATATGTAGATGATAAGGTTGGACTTTTTTTTTTTTTTTTTTTTTTCAACGGTGACTACTCTGTGACTGTGAGTATGGGACCTAAGAAAAAGAATTGAATGATTTGAATTCTTGATGGGAGTGGGAAAAAGGTCCCCATGAATTAAAAAATAAAGTAAAAAAAATATCAGAGGATCCTTACAGTGCACTAAACTGCACAGTGCACACTTTAAGATAAGAAGAGTAAGGTGACGTCAAAAAAATAAGGTGCTGTTTACTAAAATGGAGAATTTTTTGAAAAATAGAGAAGTTGAAAAAAAAAAAAAAAAACTTGTATATTAAAATCATCTCTTCAATCACTTAACTCTTTTCCATTCTTCAACTTTATGTATATTGTTGAAGAACTAAATTCAAAGTTCTCCAAATGAAAAATTAGAGAAAGTGAATAGTAACAGTGATGTAAGGTTGACAGTTTGATTCATGCTCTGCATAATTATTGTTGCTTTGCTTTTTCACAGCTTCTTTCCCTTTCCCTTATGCGCACACATTTCAATTATTATTATTATTATTATTATTATTATTATTATTATTATTATTATTATTGCTTTTTCAAAGCTTCTTTCCTTTTCCCTTATGCGCATTAGCTTTTTCTCTTTTCCTTTATTCACACAGATTTCACATCCTATTCTATATATAATAAAGTCATATGGTCTTGTGAAAATTAAATGATGATAATTAACATTTAATTTTCACAAGACCATAATAATATTGTTAATTATAATAACAATAACAATAATAATAATAATTGCAATAATAATAATGATAATAATTTCCACTGACAGTTTCTAATATATATATATATATATATATATATATATATATATATATATATATATATATATATATTTATATTTCAATTTCTACTGGCAAATTATTGTGTGAACGATGGTCCACATAATTGTATGGATCATGAATATCAAATACATTTTTAATATATTAAAAATATATTATTTTTATATTGAAAGTACCTTACGTACATATATAGTGTACCCTTAGTATATTTAAAATATACTTTTTATTGCATGCAACCCCAAAGTTCATAAGTTTGAAATTAATATATGGCATAGCTAGGCGACCTAATATTTAAGATTGTTGATGTGCATATTGAGGACTATGGAGACAAAGATGCGTCATTCGTGGATTCATCGGATACTATCCAACTTAATTGACGTGAAGTAGGCTTAATA